GCAAAGCCCAAGCACTCTGACCAGGAATGTGGGTGCCCCAAGCAGCATCCTAACCGCTGCAAGGATGTGCTCCTCTTGTTCATAAGATGACTTTTATTAGGACATGGACTTGTATTCTCTCAACCTGTGCTACAAGTCCTTAGGGGAGGTTGAGAATTAGTGCATACACAGCAGAAAGATGAGGTCATGGGGCCTTACAGAAGTTATCTCACTTGCCAAAATCCCAGAAGTAGAGGTGGCTTCAGCATTGATGCTTAGCTCTTAGGAAGAGCATGAGCTGTGATCTGTAGAAAGTGCAACTTTGGGTCTGGCACGGTGGCCTAGCAGCCAAAAGTCCTCACCTTGAATGCGCCGGGATCCCATCTGTGTGCTGGTTCGTGTCCCCGCAGCCCCACTTCCCATCCAACTCCCTGCAATAACAAAAAAAAAAAGAAAGAAAGAAAAAAGAAAGTGCAACTTTGCCTTATGTCTAGCATGCATCTGCCCTTCGCCGAAAGCTTGAAGATCTGCAATAGGCTAGTAGGTGCCCATAGTACCTTTCTCATTTCTTCTCTGATGTTTGGCTGAATCTGGTTGAATTGCCTTCATTTCTGTGGGCTCTGCTGAATCGATAATGAATAATTTGCAGGGGGAGAAGGCTAAAAACAAATACCCACCCACATACTATGGCTGGCATGTCAACGGTCTGCTTTACTCAGCAATCAAGGTGCTATGTCCCTAGCTGATGGGAATTCCATGACTCAGCAGAAATCTGTTTATCAGAAACAAAAAAGTAAGGCATCAGCAAGACTATGTCAAGGATTAGAGAAACCAACATTGAGCTTGTAGTAATACAAGCGCAGAGACAGGAATGCAAAATACATCCAACACTGACAAAAGTCCTCTTAGAGAAGTGATGAAATCTAGTTGATTTTACATTAAATTGTGCGTGTTCGATTTTTTAAAAACATGGTGGATTTTAACTTTGATTTTTTTTTTTTTTTTAGTTTTTAAAAAGGTTTATTTGAGAGGCCGCTTTAAGGTGACAGGGAGAGATAAAATGTGAGATCTTCCTTCCACTGATTCAATTCCCAAATGGCCACAAAGTTGGAGTTGCACCAGGCAGAAACTAGGAGCCAGGAACTTCTCCTGGGTCTCCCACTTGAGTGCAGGAGCACAAGGACCTGGGCCGTCCTCAGCTGCTTCTCCAGTAAGGGGCAGGATAGGAACTGGACAGCAGGGATAGGAAGCACTGCCCACGTGGGAAGCAAGCATCACAGGTCATAGCTTTTTTTTTTTTTAAGATTTATTTATTTTTATTGGAAAGGCAGATGGACAGAGAGGAGGAGAGACAGAGGTAGATCTTCCATCCGATGATTCACTCCCAAAGCGTCCAAAACAGCTGGAGCTGAGCCCATCTGAAGTAAGGAGCTTCTTTTGGGTCTCCCACGTGGGTGCAGGATCCCAAAGCCCTGGGCTGTCCTCGACTGCTTTCCCAGGCCACAGGCAGGGAGCTGGATGGGAAGTGGAGCTGCCGGGATTAGAACTGGTGCCCTTATGGGATCCTGGTGTGTTCAAGGGTAGGACTTAACCACTACATTATCGTGCTGTCCCCCTACAGGTGCTAGTTTTACCTGCCAGGCCACACTGCTAGACCCAAACTCTGTGTCTGCCTTAGCAACATCTAGACTCAGTAGACTGAGTCTAAGTAAGCACTTGATAAATGTCTGCTGAATGAATTCCTCAAATCAGTCAATGCATGGAATTAAAGATATTAACAAATCTTCAAGATGATCTAACACGGCACTAGCACATTTGCCTTTATCCACATGTGATAACCAGAGAGTTGAAAAGTAGCCAGGAGCCAGGAGCTTCCTCTTGGTCTCCCACGCCGGTGTAGGGTCCCAAGGCTTTGGGCCGTCCTCTGCTGCTTTCCCAGGCCACAAGCAGGGAGCTGGACGGGAAGTGGAGCTGCTGGGATTAGGATCCACTCTCATATGGAATCCTGGCGTGCGCAAGGTGCGGATTTTAACCACTAGGCCATGCCGCCGGGCCCAGACCCAGAACTCGCACTCAAATTTTCTGATACATGCCACACACCCTGTTAAACACCGCCTTCAAAAAGTCTTTGTACCAAAATAAATCTATCTTCGATTTTCTACAACCTTTTTTCAAAAGGTTTTTAGTTTGAAAGGTAAAGGTCCTGAAAAGGTACAAACATATAACCACCAGGAGATTGCTAAGAAGTTTGTGTTGACTGGCAAAACTTGTAAAAGCCTGAGAGAAATCAAGACAAAATTTAAATCTGTCCATATGATAGCCTACTATATTACACTGTATTATCTACAGTTTTTATCATGGTCTTCAACACAAGTTTTCAGATGACTTCTGGTCTTGTCTTACCTATCCAACCTTAGCAGGTGGACAGTGGTGGACCGCCACAGGTGGGGCCCGGGCGGCCAAGTGCCTTGCGGGGCAAGAGGGAAAGCAGGTTACCACACTCAAACTTTCTGGGGTCAGGCAGAGGTGACAGATGTTAGGAGATGAAAAGCAAAGATGGGCAGTGAGGTGGCGACAGGAGGGGACAAGGGAGTGAGGAGGATGGTGGAGACGAAGGGGATGGAGATAAGGCAGCGGAAGCAGCTCAGAGCAGGAGTCAGGGCCGAGAGAGTCCTAGAATGGGCACGGGTGGCAGGTCCAGGCTGACCAGGGTGAACACGGAGCCTGCACCGGTGTGCCCCAGGACTTGGCTTTCACTCGGGGGAGTCTTCCTCCGGCCTGTCACAGGGCGGGGGACAGAGGCCGGCCCGAGCTGGCCCACGTCCTTCCCGTCAAACACCCAGGAAGGCGCGTTCAAACAAGCCCTCAGCCAGCGACCCCGGAGCCACGATCGCAAACGCCTCCACAAACCTCAACCTTCTCTCCGGTTTCGGGTTTAAAGGCAGTGTTGGAAACGCCCCGCCAATATTCGGGAACTTTCGGAAATTCCCGAGAGACCATCAGGAGCTTTGGGACCAAACATTGAAACTGATCCCGAACCAGCTTGGGTCGAAAGCTAGTCAGGAACTGGGCTAGGGCTGGCTCATGGACCCACTGGCATGCGCAAAATCCGGCACTGGGAGAGGTTCTGATGGAGGAGCCTGGGCAACTCCTCTGGCAGGACACAGACCCCACGGGTAAGCGCAAGAAGCATGAATGGAAACAGCCCGGAGCAGGCCACAAGAAGTTTCCCACTGGCATACATTAGGCATGGATTGGGGGCCGACCAGGCTAATCAGTTAACATCATCACTGGCAAATCCGAGCACCAGAACAGAGTAAGGGTCGAGCCAGGTTTGGTTGCGATAAAAACCAGTCCACACTACAGAAAGCCACGAGGAGGTTGACTGTGCCGGATGTGACTGCAGTGCCCATCCAGCACACGTGAGAAACAGGAGGGGAGGGGACAGAGCCAGCGGGGGAATAAGGGGAGGTTCCCCTGCTGGACAGCTACTCCCACTGGAGAGCATGAACTGGGATGGGGGCAGACCAGACTAAGCAGGGCTACAACACCTGTGCACCTAATGTGGACTAGACCAGGGAAAAGCCAGGATGGGTTGATTGTTCCTATGGGTGCAACCTACAATTAGAATGGAAGAGGGCTGTTGGGGCATAGCCGTAGCATCAGCTGGCAGAAACTGGCACTGGGGGCTAATCCTGTCAAGTTAGACTGCAGAACCACCTGGAAAGTGCACAATCCGGGAGTGAGAGACCTGGGAGGGAAATAGTGGGTTCCCCCCTCTTGGGTTACCACTGCCACGGGAAGGCACGAGAACTAGGACAGGGGCTGGGGTAGCTAGACAGAGAGGCACTCAACCACACCCGTGAAGGCTTGACTGTTGAGCTGGGTAGATGGATCCAAGCTTCAATGCCATTTGTCATGTACGAGAACCAGGGGGGATGTGGGTCAGATTGGACTGGTCTGCCACACATACTGGCAAACCAGGGTAGGGGGTTGGCCTGGTGGGGGTTATTGTGGGCCGCTCTCATCAGGATGCAGCTCCCACTGGTTTAGGTGAAGACCAAGTATGTGCTGTGCAGAACCAGGCTGGACTGCATCACCCATTGGTTCCAGTAGAAGACGGGGCTGAAAACAGAACCAACCCAGCAATTGCAACTACCAGCTGACCGGGTGATGGACTGTGCTGGGCCCTGTGCTTGCTGGTGCATACGAGTATCTGGCCTGGGAACACCTCAGACAAAGTTTCTTGGTGATCTACCCAGTTGAAATGCCAGACTCAGAACCCTAACCATGAAGGGACAGAAGATGGAACAAGTTAATCAACCACCTCAGCTATAGGTTGGCAACAAAATACCAGGCAAATAGAGACGCTATGATGGACAATGTCAATTAATGGATTTTTCAACAACCTCATCGTGTTTGGAGAGGCAAGATTGGCAGCAATTTCAAAACTGGTGACCTATTGAAACCACTTCAACGAGCATCTCGGAGCACGCCCCACATGCGGGACTTGGGGTGGGTGGGAAATCAGGTGGGGCTTCTCCCTCAATATCCTGCTGTACCTCAGATATATGAAGGAAACAATATGGAAATAATAGTCTTACCCACTTTCCTGTAGCCCTTGACCCTTTATGCACAAATTAACCATGTAAAGATTGTTAAAATAAAAAATATTAGTTAAAATTAAAAAAAAAAGAAAAGAAACTGACCCCAATTCCAGAGAGAAATTCAGGAACGTAAGAGATTGTCGAAAACAGCGAGGGAGCGGCCGAAATCAGCCGAGTGCTCTTCGGGAGTTTCCGGAGAGCTTCGAGGCACATTCGAGCCCTGTCGGCTTTCCATCCGCTCCGTCACCCGAATCCGAAGAGCGAGCTGTGCCGATCGTCCCTCGGCAGGTTCCGGAAGCATTCGGGATGACAGTGGCGCCCTCTAGCAGCGAGCGGCCGCGCACGCAGACGCAGTGGAGCAGCGGCGGCCGTTCAGACCGGAAGCGGTTGCAGCTGATATCAGTTCCGGCGGGTGACGGTGCGGACGGGTCAGGAGCGTAGAGGCGGCGGCAAAATGGCGGCGCCTGAGGAGCGGGATCTAACCCAGGAGCAGACAGAGAAACTGCTGCAGTTTCAGGTAGCAGCGAGTCCTCGGTGCAGCCAATTCCGCCGCGGGATGGGGAGTGGGCCCTTGCAGGAGTTCAGTACTTTCCTCGCACTGGGTCCGGGATCCTTCTCTGACCAGCGGGCGGCTCCCTCTTCCCTAGACGCCGACTGCTTTGATTCCTTCAGCCCCCCGAGTGCCCGTCCGTCCGTCCGTCCGTCCATATGCCCTCCCACCTCTCAGCCGCCGCTGCCGTGCCCGGCACTCCGCCCTCAGCGGGTCAGCGCCGTCGTGTCCCCTTTGGCGGGCGCCAGTCAGTTCCCAGCCATCCTTCCCCCGGTTCGATTCCCGCTGAGGTCCTCTCCGCCCAGCGATGTCCTAACAGCGGCCGCGGAGCTGTCAGGACAGCCTCCTGCTGGCATCCCGTGCCCCGAGGACTTGTGTGGGGCCCGGTGGGGGAGGGACGTGTGCGGGAGGACCCCTGGCCAGGCCACATTGCAAACCCTCTGGGCTTCGGACAGGGCTCCCCAGCTTGCGCGGGCGTCCTGCCCTCCTCGTGTCCGGCCAGCGGCTGGTCCCTGCCTGGCCGGGGATGGCCGTGTACACTGTGCACTTGAACCCGCCTCCGAGCTGCGTGCTGTTGCAGGCGAGGACCACGAGGGTGGGGAACGCTGGCCACTGGTCTCTACGTGCGTTTTGATCCCTCCTAACCCCCCAGCCCCCATGGGCACCACCACCCATCGCCCCCTTGGACGTTGTGGAGATCCAGTGAGCTCATAGATGTGACAGGGCTTTGGTGACCTGAGAATTGTGCGCAGTGTTCTGCTGTTAATCATTATTTAACTTGGGCTCGGACTAATTCTAGCAATGCCCCCAGTTTCCCAATAGAAAGATTGCTGCATCTTCATGTATTCAGTAAATATTTATGAAGAACTTTAACGCCCCAGGCCCTGCTAGGTTGCATCTCATTTACTGGATATGACTGCTTGAAGTTCTTTGCTCAACTTTGAGCGTACGTTCTCACTGACTCCCAGTTATCCGTGAGGATGTTAACTGTTACGATCCCTACTTTGTGGACACAGGAGATGAGGTGTAAGAAGTAGCATGCTTCACAGGCGGCCACTCTCTCAGCACCCCGTGCTGGAGTGCAGGTTCTGGTACCCCACATGGCTGCCACCGAGCCACCAGTGCGCTTGGAACAGTGGCAGGTGGGCATCCCAGCTCAGGGTCCTGCAGGGTGACCCAGGTGGGAGTCCAGGACTGCTGGCTTCAGCCTGTGACAGCCCCAGCACTTTAGGGAGCTTTAGGGGAGTGAGCCAGCGAAAGGAACATCTCTTCGTCTTTTGTTCTGCCTTTCAAATAAGTAATAGACAGTTTTAAAAGGAGAAAAAAGGAAAAACCAGAAAAAGTGGCGAAGTTAGAGTGAAAACCAGGTTGTTCTTTCCAGGGCTTCATTTTTCTGCTGTGCAACGCATAAGGTACCTCTTCAGTGGAGAGTGGCAATGCAAATGCTGCAGTGTTAAGTTTGTTTTTGCAAGTTCTTGGGTTTTTTTTTTTTTTTTTTTTTTTGGTGATTTCCTTGGGTAAATTTCAAGGTGGTTAATTTTGAAAACTTTTTGCTCTCCCTTAAAAGGAACGATGAATTGAAAAACGTACAAATGAAAAATTCTGATATTGTTGGCATTTGGAGTTTTTAACTAGAGAAATGGATGCTATCAAAGTTTAAGATTAAGGATAAATGAAGAGGAGTGCAGTGGTTTATGACATTGCTGCTTGGGACCCTGTCAGCCCATGGGAGACTGCCTGCTTTGAGTCCAAAGATTGATTTATTTTTTATTGGAAAGGAAGGTCAGACTCATGGAGAGGAGAGACAGAGAGAAAGATCTTCCATCTGCTGATTCACTGCCCAGTGGACACAACGGCTAGAGCTGAGCTGATCTGAAGCCAGGAGCGTCTTCTGGGTCTCCCCTGCAGGTGCAGGGTCCCAAGGCTTTGGGCCGTCCTCAACTGCTCTCCCAGGCCACAGGCAATGAGCGGGATGGGAAGTGGGGCCACTGGGATTAGAACTGGCAGTGATATGGGATCCTGGCGCGATCAAGGTGATGACGTTAGCCACTAGGCTACTGCACTGGGCCCACTACTCTGCTTTTGATCCAGCTTGTTGCTGATGGGTGTGTTGGGATGCAGCAGATGGTGACTCAAGCACTTGGGTCCCTGCCACCTAAGCAAGCAAACCTGTATTGCATTGCAAGCCACTGAGTTAAGGCTGGCCTAGCCCTGAGTTTTAAAATGAGTGCATAGTAGGCAACCAGCTTCTCCTTTCTGATAACATTTTATTTCAGTTTTGTTTGACTCTTTTTTTAATATATATATACATGTTTTTATTGGAATGGCGGTACGCAGAGACAAGGAGAGGCAGAGAAAGATCTTCCATCCACTGCTTTACTCCCCAAGTGGCCACAATGGCTGGAGCTGAGCCAATCCAAAGCCAGGAGCCAGGAGCTTCTTCTGGGGTCTCAAGGCTTTGGGCCACCCTCAGCTGCCTACCCAGGCCACAGGCAGGGAGTTGGATGGGAAATGGAGAAGCCAGGATACGAACTGACGCCAATATGGGTTTCTTGCAGATGAAAGGCGAGGACTTTAGCCACTAGGCTACTGCACGGGGCCCAGCTTTGTTTGACTTTAATGGGCTATGTTTCAGAGATTCTTCAGGGGCAAGGCCCGTGTGTTTGCAGTGTATTGCGTTATGTAAGTGATACGAGTTGTAAATTGTGATGTACTTGGTATGGTATGATGCTGGAAAGATAGGAACATGCTAGTGTGTTTGTGAGGTTGAATGTGTAGGCGCTCCCGTTTTCTGTGACTGTTTAAGAGCTAGGTAGGCAGGTTCAGTTGTATTTAGATTGCTTCTATCTTGATTTATATTTAGATTGGATTTTTTAAAATTTTCTTTTTATCTTTATTGCACAGTCAGATGTATATAGAAAGGAGGAGAGACAGAGAGAAACATCTTCCGTCCAATGATTCACTCCAAAGGCCAGTGCTGTGCCTATCTGAAGCCAGGATCCAGGAACCTCCTCCGGGTCTCCCATGTGGGTGCAGAGTCCCAAGGCTTTGGACTGTCCTAGACTGCTTCCCAGGCCACAAGCAGGAAGCTTGATGGGAAGTGGAGCTGCTGAGATTAGAACCGGCGCCCATATGGGATCCTGGCACATTCAAAGCAAGGACTTCAGCTGCTAGGCCACGGCGCCGGGCCCTAGATTGGATTTAATGAGGAAAATGCATTTAACGTATGTATTCCGTAAGATGTTGCTGGATCAGATATTGTAGAGTGCTATTGAATGTGCTGAGACTTCCTCGATGTCCAGTGTTGCAATAGCAGTTGATGTGCAGTATCTTTTTAATAAGGATTTGTCTTTTAGAAAAGCAGAGTCAGCCGTCCCATCCTCTGGTTCACTCCCCGAGTAACCACCTCAGTGGTGCCTGAGCCAGGACAAAGCTGGGAGCCTTGAACTTCCCTTGTGCCTCCCACATAGGTGGCAGGTGTCTCACCAAGCCTTTGGTCCGTCTGCTGCCTCCTCGGGTTCCCTCACAGGAAGCTGGAGCAGCAACAACGGGGTCAGAGCTTGATGCCGGACACGGTGCGGGATGCGCTGCCCCATACGGCAGCTTGATGCCGGACACGGTGCGGGATGTGCTGCCCCACACGGCAGCTTGATGCCGGACACAGTGCGGGATGCGCTGCCCCACACGACAGCTTGACCTGTTGTGCCACAAGGCCCACTCCTCAGTCAGCCCCCTTGCTTAAACCTCGTAAGAAACTGTCGGTGCTTAGTTCCTGTTCGTTTTACTAGTGAAGAAATGGGTTCTGAGAAGTCTCACCGTTTGTACAAGTTACTTGCTAGTGTAGCAGTTTAGAATCTACGTCTGCAGCTCAGGGAGAAGCTCGGTGTGAGCATGGAGAAGAGTGCCCGTGGGATGTGGTTACCGTGCCCGCCGTTTAGGGAGGGGCGGGTACTGTCGGTAGAGGGAGGATGGCTGAGTGCCTACGGCCGATTCATGAAGCACTGTGCCTTAGCCATGGTGCTGGGTCATGATCCTCACAGTGCCCCGTGAGCTGCCAGGATAGTAGGCCTGTGTGTAAAGTGGCGGCAGATTTATTGATATGGTTGCTTACAGTCATTAAGCTGGTAAGTGGTAGAAATCTGTGTCTTCCTACTCGGCAGGCGGCAGAGTATCAGCTGGTGGCGGGTAGGAGGGCGTTCAGATCCCAGGGGATAGCCTTGGACCGGGTACCGGGATGAGGAAGTGTGAAATGTGTCTGTCGTGACAGATTTAGAGAATTGGGAGGAGAAAATGAGACTAGAAAGATGAATTAGAGTCAGGTTTTGGAGACTCTTCAGACACATGCGCAGGCTCCTCCGTAGGCACGGCGAGGTGTCAGACTTGACGCTAGGCTCCAGGCTCGTTCCCCTGGCAGGCTGGAGCATGCGCCTGGAGTCTTCAGGTCAAAGCAGAGAGGGGTGACACTGCTCGGCGCCCCAGCTCCATTTGCTTCTTCAGCTAACAGGTTTAAGTTGAGGAAGGCAAAATATTTTGGAGACCTCAGGTTGGTTTCAGCTCCCTTTTTTGCGGGGGGCGGGGAGGGTGTGTGGTTGGGTCGAAGTTCTCTAGTGCTTGTTTGTCTTGTTTCTCAGTCTGTTTGACGTGTTCCAAAAATGTCCTCTTGCTCCTATTTTGGAACCAGTTGGATTTGCACAGCTAAATTTTGTTACATTTCAGGTGGGCAAAAAGGGACCATGGTTTTTGCTTTAAAGACTTACTTGTTTATTTGAAAGAAAGGGAGGGAAGGGATGAGAGATCTTCCATCTGCTGGTTCATTTCTTACGTGGCCACAGCAGCTGGGGACTGTGCCAGGCTCAAGCCGGTAGTCCTGAGCTTTCTCCTGGTCTCTCCTGGGGTGCAGGGACCAGAAGGTCTTGGGCCATGCCCCTGCTGCTTTCCTAGGAATGTTACTGAGGAACTTAATGTGA